GTTCTCCTACAGTACAGCCTACACTTAAACAGGACTTCTGTAATAAACTGACTCTTAATTTCTGAGTAGCCCTATTATCAACAGAATTTTGGGTCACATTGTGGGCTTCAAATGTAACCCTGGCAAGTTTTCCTGATCTCTAACTGATGGTGTGTGAGAAGGGGATGTATTATCTTTCTCTACCCTAGCACTAGTGTTGTGTGAATGACAGTTTCTTGCTATGTGTCCTAACTGATGGCATTTATAACACTCTATCACTTTCCATGTTTGTTTTCTACCACCCCGGTAAGAATTTGCTATTTTGTTAACACATTTCTCTAAGGTTTGAACTAAGCTTGATAACTCATCAGAGGTCTTAACATGTGTATTTTCATTCTCTGTCTTAACACTATTTACACTAGGTTTAGTGATGAAGAGTTGTGGCCCTTTAACTGCTTCGAATTCTGTTGCTAGTGAAATGGCACTCTCTAAAGTCTTAGGATGATGTAAAATGACATGAGATCTAATTTCAGAATTTCCAATTCCACTCATAAATTGCTCTAAAATAATAATTTCCCTATCAGAATAAGCCATGTCCGGGAAAGCTAAGTTTCCTAACCTCCTAAGTGCAAATCCATAATCTGAAGGGCTTTCATTTTGTTTTCTTAGACGCGATCTAAACTCTACTCTATGTGCAACAACTAATTCTTTAGGACAAAACCTGCTAGACAAAATGGACTTAAGGTTGTCATAATCTTTTCTCTGTTCTTGAGATAGGTCACCTAGAATTTTCTGTGCCTCCCCCCTTAATGACATAACTAATTGCTGGGACTTCTCTTCATGAGACCAATTATTCCAATTAGATACTTGCTCAAAATGAACTAAGTAATCCTGCCATGCTACATTTCTACCATCAAACTTGTCTGGTTCTTTTTCTCTACGTTTAGGTCTACCAAGATTTACAGGGGTACTGGGCAGTGTAGACATATTTGTCTGAGACCTACTGAGATTCTCACTTCTGTCTCTCTGTGCAAAGTTTATTTGTGCAGGTGAGGTACTCAAACTTTCTGTTGCTCTCACTCTATCTAAGGGAGTCACTGTCTCTCTTACAACTTTATTCTGACTTGCTTGCCTGTCCCTATCATTACCTTCAGCAAATGACACATGACGTCTTTGTCTTAGAGTTTTCTCCAACTCATGCTTACATCTCTCATAGTCGGTAGTGAGGTCCTGCAGCACTTGTTCTAAATCTGAAATCTGTGAATTCATGCTAGTATCTAATACACTCTCATGCATCTCAATCTCACTCACAGGAGAGGACAAAGAGGGCTGATTGACTCTTGTCATAACCTTACTTCTAGCACCTTGACTAGAACTTAACCTATCAACTCTAGGGGTTGATGTAGCTATTCCTACACTATCAGAACCTGAATTTAGCGAAGTCATGGTTTCTATTCAGATATCCTGGTCACGGCACCAAAAATTATGTAACCGGAAGCAGAACTCTTTAATGAATAACTTAACAAAGTTAATAGCCAACTTGGCTTAAAGCAGTAAACTGCCTCCAGTTATGATTGTCAACCCAGGTAAGGGGATATCTGAACTATGATCAACGCTAAATGAAAACACAGTTGTAAGTTTTATAAATTTAATAAAGTGAGAATTAACCTTTATAAATGATAACAAATAATAAATAATGATCAAAATTTAACAAACAGAAAAGTCTTTGAAATTTGCACAGGATAAATAAGGTTTTATCAAAAATGTAATTTAATCTGGTAGGTGATTCACAATAATCTCAATGAATAATCTCAATAAATAAATAAGTAATTGAAAAATGTAATAGAAAATGGGAGGAATGTGGAAAAACTATGAAAAATAATTTATGTCCCTACTGGGCTTCCATACTTATGAAAGTTGTCAAAAATCCTATAAGATGAATGGATTAGAAAAGTGTAAAAGAAATGAGCTACATCACCCAATATGACTACTATCAACACTCTAGAGTTGAACTGAAAATATCAATGCTAATTCTAGGTTCTAAAAATAACTGACCCAGAAAATAAACAACACCAAAAATAAATAATAAATAGTAAATAGTGGTTCTAGGAATTATACCTGTTATCTACAAATCCCTAGACCAGGCTTGACTTGGAAAGGGGAAAATAAATTTATTCTATTAAACCTACATCCTAACTGTTTCCTAAAAAAATCTAGAATCTGTGAAAAACATGAAACTAAAGCTAGCTAAGACCTAGAGTACTGTTAAATCATAAGATTTTGTTAGCACTACTGAAGGGTACTAAGCAAATAAGTGCGTTTAAACCAGGAGGTTTTATTAGCACTGTAAAGAGGAACTAACCATTAGGTCTATTCCCCAACCCAAGTGAAGAAAACTACACGAACACGGCTTTAAATACCCTAGCTATAGGCCCAAATATAAAAGCCAATAAACATCAAAGATTCTATAGCTAAGTTAACCAATCAGAACACAGCTACCAAAAGTACTATGGAAAGACTCCCAACATGGATGACACTTCCTGTTTAAAAAGTAAAACATGTGGAATGTCAACACATGTCCTAACTTAAAAAAGACAAATAATAACGGGGTTTTACGTAAGTAACAACTGAAAACATAAGGTAAATAGAATTATCAGACTGAAATACCAACAAATACTTGTAAAATATAATTTACGAAACGAGGGCTATGAAATAGAAATCTAAGCCACTACATTATTATTATTTGGTGACCAAAATCTACCACTGGCAGAAAATGTTGCAATCTTTAAATCTGTCCAAAAATATATTGTAGCTACCAAGAGATTTATTTAATCATTTTTTCCTTGGTATCTATTCACTACTCCCTCTCCCGTCGGTATGTTCTTGTGTATATTCTCTCAAATGTGTGTAGCAAGCGTCATTTTTATTTTTATTTTTTTTTTCCTTCTCATTGTTATTTTTCTTCATAATTTTGAATTAATATCTGTTATTGCTGTAAATCTCTTGCATTTGTTCTTTAATTATTTTTCCTGTAAATTCAACCATATTTTGTCGTTTTTCTCTCTCTCATACATACATATTGTACAAATCCATTAGACTTCTTCTGTATAATTAGAACGTCATTCATTTGTGTGAATCGACATGATTTCTAACTTAACATGTATGTCAATTTCAAATATTTTTTTTAAGCAGCTTCAAACCGTGTTATGTAGCTATCTAATAAGGGTCTGTCATCTTCATCATAATAATAAGGAAACGGATTAGTATAAGTTTTCAAACTTGTTTCCGAATCCTTTTTGATTTTCTTGTACTACGTATCTGTATCTTCTGCTTGTCATTTTCAAATAAAATATGGTTTAAATTAAACTAATAGACACAACAAATGAGCCCTTTTGTATACACAATAAGTACTTTGCTTGACCAGGATTGACACCTATGACGTCAGAGCAATGGCACGTAACATCGGCGATCAAAATATACATATTGAGAAATTCAAACTTTGAATCGCTGAAACATCAAAAATATTAATTTTGAAGCAAAGATTTTTAAATATATGATTTTAATAGCATGTAAACTTTGTCATATCAAAAAATTTTGAGACGTGGTAAAAACCCTTTAACAATCTAACATATGCGGTATTGTGAAATACAGCTTTAAATCATGATTTTGGGTTTTATATTGAATTGAGATTCTCTTTATAACAATATTTTCTATTTTTGATTTGTTGGTACATGATTTTTTTTCAGTACTTTAAGCATAGTGAGGTTTTCATTATAAACTTTTTTCTTTGGTCATCTTGTAGTAGTCATGATGATGATGAATATTTTGATAAGAAATTCCTTAGATTTCCCCCATTTCTCATAAGGGTTAATAGTCTACTTAAATTTTTGTGTTGCAGTTATCATATTTTAAGCTCCACACTGTATGTATGGCAATTTTTATGAAATAATTGAAAATAAAAAAAATCAGACACTTTTTCCAATTTTATTTTTATTTTTTTAGTCGGCTGCGTAAAATATGGATTTTTATTTTTATTTATCCCCCCCCCCCCGACCCAATTTTTCAAAAAATTTCCCGTAAATCATTTAATAAAAAAATGTTATTGGCGACTTTACTGTAGTATAAAACATAAACAAAAGACTTAGTTTAAAAGTGAACAATATTTTCTGGAAATCCGAATTACTTCTACAATTGCAGCATACTGATTAAAATGACCTTATGAGATATTTACTACTTAAGTCCAAAAGGCAAACGGATACGGGCACTTTCGTTTTGTTTTGCACCTATACTCTAGAGCACGCCGGGAAGCCATGTTATTTCACCAGGTAAATATTCAAAGACTAATATATTTTTGCAGACAAGTCAAAACAGTTTCAGTAGCCTACAATTGGACAAATATACAACGGAGGAGATTGTAAGCAGCCTATACAGTGATAGTATGATTGAAATTAGAACAAAAATATTTCTTGATTATAACGGCGTAGCTAGAACATAGTTTTAAGGATGTCTTACAGGCGCTCCCCATCTAATTCTGTATAAACGACGAAATGATGTCATAGGTGTCCCCCCCTTTTTACTATAAATTTATACTAAAAATTTATAGATGGGTACACTTATCATTTCGTCCTTTACAAGCACCTATATGGGTTGTCAGAAGCTTTAAAACGTGTCTAAACATGATATTGAATTGCAAGCTCGATTTCGATCTGTAAGTTATGTACTTAATTAAAGGACAGGCGATTTATATAGAGGGTTCTCTCGGCTATATATTAACACTTACACTAAATTGACCACGTGACGGTCAATTATATTTTTTTTTCAAGAGTTGCTCAAAATCGTTTCGAGGAAGGTGATCAATTAACACAATTATTAATAACTCTTTGTTACATGTGACCTTACCATGTCCTACTATGGGCTAGGTTTAGTTCAAGGTTAATTCAATACCATTTTTTCTTATATATGTATCTAATATTTTAGTCTAATTTTAGACTCGTTTATTTGTTTTTACAGACTCGTCAAATTGTGTAACAAATACACCAGTAATGGACCCCAGATATAGTGCTCAAGAAGTACTACTCTGTGACCTGTGTGATAAAGATGTGTTACAAACTCATTGTGAACCTTGTAATGTAAACCTTTGTTTAAACTGCATTGGAAAACATCTGTCTGATCCGTCTAAAAGACACAACGTTGTGCCATATAGACAAATAAAACAGGACCAACAGCAAAGCTTTACTCCCATTTATCCGAAATGTTCAAAACATGCCCCCAAAAATTGTGAACTTTTCTGTGAAAGATGTGACATTTCTGTTTGTTCTACATGCCTCTCCTCAGGTACACATAAAGGACATAATTTGTTGGATATCCTACAAAAACACAAATCTATGGTAGAAGATCTTAAAATTGATCTGGCAGAGCTCAAACATAGGATAAATCCCACCTTTCAAAATATTGCGTCAGATGTAAAGGTCGGAAAAGCCAAGTTGGACAAGCATTATGGGCAACTGACAACAGATGTCATAAAACAAGGAGAGGGCTGGCATAGTGAAATTGAAGTAATTGTGAACAAAAGAAAATCGGAAATTGAAGCGATGAGGATGAAACACTTGATGGCCCTTGAAAAGCAGGAAGATGAAATTGCAAAAATACTGTCAGAGATAAATCGGAGCACTCTTTATCTGGAGAAAATACTCTCATCCAATGATGTCTCTTTAGCATTTGCAAACCAATCCAGAAATTCTGAATTTAGGAAGTTGCCTCCTAAACTCAATGCATCCTTACCAAGTTTTTCTGCTCCGAAGATAAATACAGAAAACCTCAATCTCTTATTTGGGTACATCTCAGAATTATCCATAAGTACAGAGGATGCTGAACCCCCATGTCTCCCCCCATTCAAACCATTCCTTGATGAACCAGAGCTCATCAACACTCTGTACACTGATTTTGTGAATCTAACCAGTGTTACATGTCCTAAAGAAGAAAAAATCTGGACATGTGAGAGAAAAGAAATTATGAAACTCTACAATACCGAAAGCAAGCTACTAATACCAATCAAAAGTAAGTCAGGGAAGGACGTCGAGGACATAGCGGTGATGAAAAGTGGAGAATTAGTTTATACTGATCCTGGTGAAAGAACTGTGAACATAGTGAAGAAAACTCAAATAAAAGAATTGATCAGACTTCAAGGGTGGAGACCCCGCTTTCTCTGCAATACCTCCTCTAACGAACTTCTGATTACCATGGACAATGATGATAAACAATCAAAAGTGGTTCGTTACTCTGGCTCTACAGCAAAACAAACTATTCAATTTGATGATAGCCACCTCTCTCTGTATTCATCATCTGGTAACTTTAAGTACATTTGTGAGAACAAAAATATGGACATCTGTGTCGCAGACAATGGAGCCGAGGCAGTAGTGGTTGTGAATCATACAGGAAAACTCCGATTTAGGTACACTGGTTGCCCCTCCTCTTCCGGACGTTTTTATCCGTATGGCATAACTAAAGACAGTCGGAGTCAACTTCTAATATCAGAAAACCTCAGAGGCCGTATTCATATTTTAGACCAAGATGGACAGTTTCTTCGTTTCATTGAAACCTTTTATCTTGTCAGTCCATGGGGCTTATGTGTTGATAGCAAAGACGACCTTTTTGTGGCCCTGAGCTCGAATGGAGAGGTGAAAAAAATCAAATACATGTAGACAATACATTAATTACAGGAAGAAACTGTGGTGAGATCATAGGGATGCTCTGATAGGAGAGGAAATCATCAATATGACACCTTCAAATGTTGTCGAATATTAGTTTTTGCAAATATCAACGATATTTGAGGCTAACTGCCAATAAATATGTACTGCACTGCGCTTATAATTATTCAAATGAAAGTACATTTCCCCACTTTCTCACTCAAGGGACCATCAAGTATTAATAACAAAAAATCCCCCCCTCTTTCTCTAAATGATTCCATAATATCCAACACAAAGCTCTTACTTTTGATATCACAAACAACTGCTTCTTCAATAAAAATGAAAATCGGAAATTTGTGTATCTTGTGATTGGTCACCAACAAAACTACTTAAAAAGCACGCTGATTCCAAGCACAAATACTATAAAGTTAACATTAAAAAGATGCTGGAGTTTCTTATTGACAACATTTATATAGTCTTCGTAGACCAGGTCTTTCAACAAACTGTTGGAATTCAGATGAGTTCTATAATTGTGCTCCGTTATTAGCCCATCTGTTTTTATATTACTACGAAGCAGAATTTATTCAAATATACTTCTACAGGAGAAGTAGAAAAATACTTGCTGTGGCCAGCAACTCAAACTTTAGATATATCAATGACTTTTTATCAATTCACAATAGTTGGTTTCATTCATATGTCGACTCAATATATCTCAGTGAACTCCAAATTAAATAAAAACCCACAGAGATTGTCATATCTGTTTCATATTTGAATGTTTTACTGACTATAGACTAACTAACAACTAGGTTGTATCACAAACGAGAAGACTTCAGCTTTTCTATCGTCAACTTTCCTTATTTATGTAGTAATATTCCGCTGTCATCTGCAAATGGTGTTTACAGCTTCCCAACTTATTCGATACTCAAGAGCATGTTCCGAATACGATCAATTTTTAAACCGAGGAAGGCTACTGACAGCTAAAATGATGTTACAGGGATTTCAACAACTTCGTTTAAAGTCAGCATATCGTAAATCCTACGGTCGTTATAATGACCTTGTTAGCAAATGTAACCCATCATTGGGTTGCATTTTGACTGACATAATTCATAACAATTGCTAGGCCTTTGTTTTTACACTAAATTTGACTACGGAATATTCCTTAATAATAATAATAATAATAATAATAATAAACTTTTAATTAAAGAAGGTAACCTGGTTAGTGCATGCACTATTCTTCCCCAGGGCCTTCTATATATCAATTACAAAGATATACAATTACACTTGTAAATATACAATTCAACATCAGTCATAAGGAATTACAATCACAGAATTATGAATAGAGTGTCCATGTCTGGTTATATGTACATACAACTGACAATCACAAACATTGCAGATAGAATATCTAAATCTTATATGTGCTCAAATAATTGTACGACAGCTGATAATAAAATTTTATTCCATACTAGTACACCTGATTACTGAAAAGAGGTCTTCAATAAGTTTGTACGGAATTTTGGTAATCTAAGATCATAATTAGTTTCAGATCGCAGGTTATAAGGTAAAGATTTATATATTCGGTAGTTATCTCCCTTTGATGACAATGTAAATATAAACGATAAAAATTCAATTATTATCTTCATGTAAAATAATGAACATTGTGTGTGATAATTATTTACATTATATTTATTGTTGTTTTATGATGTTTACAGGGCTATAAATAGTTACATGTATGATGTCACTCCACTGTGGAATAAATATATTCAAGAACCCTGACAGGGGTTTTGTGTCATTCCATACCCCTTTTACACAATTTATCCCATGTATTGTTCTGGGGACTTATACTACTTACAGAAGTAAATAAACATTGATGCAGCAAGGTTAAACGTTTGTTCACAGGTGAGTCCTCAGCGGGGAGTTTTGCAGCAAGGTGTACATCAGGTCACGTGGTCCACGCATCAGTGTTAGCCTGCAGATGCCTGTTCGCCTAAATTCCTAATCTTTCCAAAGGAAATGTTCGCGAGCGCTCGCGATCGTTCGCTCTGTTGAACAGACCTCTGCTGGTAACACAACCTCTATTTTATAGTATGTGCCGTAGACAGGGGGGACCTGATGAAAACCTTTAGCATATTTTAAACAAATAATTTATCGAAGAATATGGGAGAAAGTACATAGCCATAACTGTGCATCTGTGTAGTAAAATCCTCAATTTACTTTCCTTTTTTGTTCCCCGCTTTCCCGAAAGCGAGGGGACATTAAATCTCATTCGTCTGTCAGTCTGTTTAGCTTTCTGCCTGTCAGTCTGTCCATTTGTCAGTCTATCACAAAAACTTTAACCTTGATCATAACTTTTGAATGAGAAGAGGTAGAGATTTCATATTTTACATGTACATTACATGTGACAAGACCTTTCCAAATATACTATGATTTTTTACCCCGTGACCTTGAAGTTTGGCCTCCTTTTTAAAAAATTTTAACATTACTTTAAATTGGTCATAACTTTTGAATGAGAAAAGATCGGACTTTCACATTACACATGTTTATTACCTGAGACAAGACCTTTCTAAATATACTATGAATTTTGACCCCTTGACCTTGAAGTTTGACCTATCTTTGCTTATAACTTTTAATTGAGAAGAAGTAAGGTTTTCATATTTCACATGTACATTACCTGTGACAAGACCTTTCCAAATATGCTACGTTTTTTATGATCCTTTGACCTTGAAGTTTGACCTACTTTTCAAAAATTTTAACATTACTTTAAATTGGTCATAAAATTTGAATGAGAGAAGATATTGCTTTCATATTATACAAGTATATTATTTGAGACAAGACTTTTCTAAATATACTTTGACTTTTGACCCTATGGCCTTGACCTAGAAGTTTTAACTACTTTTCAGTCTGTCACAAAAACTTCAACCTTTGTCATAACTTTTGAATGAGAAAAGCAAACTTTTTGATATACAGTGTCCTGTACTCATGATAAAGTAAGCATTTCAAATAAAATGGTACTCATCTTTCACCTCCAATGGACAAAAGTTACATAATCTATCCTCTCTAGGAATGTGAGTAAATCTTCCCTTCTCAATCACTATTATATGTGCACTTACTCTATATTTTGCAATCAATTGAATACGCTTGGCTGAAATTGGTTTCAAAATTGAAGGAATGTAAAGTTTCTATTAGAGATATATTTGAAGATTCCTTTTCCTATCCCATGTATTCTATTTCAAAATGTTCTGTCAAAAACTGTAAAACCTAGCTGTGACGTTTTGATAACTAACACTTCTTTTACTAGTAATCTTACTTGATAGAGCTTCTATACCAAAACTTGGGAAAATCTGAACTGCAAATCTTCTAATGTTGTCTACGGAATAGAATGTTCCCTTGTGGGCTCATTTATTTGGGTGAAAAGAATAATTATCCAAATATTAACCAGATGTGTCAGAGTCTGTTGTATCTTTTATTTCAAGTTCACTGGGATATATCGAGTCGACATATAAATGGAAGTAATTATTGTTAATTGATAATACGTCGTCGATATATTTAAATGTCGATTTGAAGACCACAGCAAGTGTTTTATTCTTTTTATGTATAAGATTTTCAATAAATTCTGCTTCATATGAATACAAAATTAGGTCTGCTAATAAAGGGCGCAATTGGTATCCATGGGATTCCGACAGATTGTTGGAAGAACTGATCTCCAAAAACTACATATTGTCATTCAGAAACTCAAGTATCTTTTTAATGACAACTTCAGAGTACTTGTTTGTACAATCAGAATGTTTTTTAACAAAATAATGTTGCAAATGACCAATGACAAATTAAGTAAATTTACGAGTTCCATTTTTATTGAAAAAGCAGTGACAATGATGTCCAAAATCCTGGACATTAATTTATCGTGGGGAATGGTTGTATAAAGTGTTGAAAAGTTGTATGTTTTGATGTTATTGATTTTGGTAAAATTTTGCGATTTCAAATTTTCAAAAAGTTCCTTGTAGTGTTGACAAATCGGACAATTTTTAGTAACCTGTTACTCTCTTACTTTTCCGATCGAGTAACCGGTTACTCGGATGTTTTTCTTTAGACCTCTAAACATCCATTCAATCATTAGTAACTGTAATATACACTATATGTAACGTCATCATAGTCTTTACAATTTCTATATTTATCTTATCATTCGTAAAACAGAAATGCACTGCATGTGAATTTTATTTATAATTACAAACAAACCATCTTCTTAAAAAATTTGTTCTCAAACACCCCGTAATAGTTGACTGTTTTGCGGTGATTTAGCATATTTGTTGTCCCACCTTTATATGTTAATTCGATTTTACATAATTAAAACCTCACGGATTTAAAATTAGCCAATCTTTCCAAACATTTCTATACTTCTGTTGCATGTGGCGGCATCTTCTTTAATCTTGTACTGCAGACTGACACAGTTATGTGAGGTAATTATAATCAACTCAAGTCTTCAAAAAAACAAAAAAAAAAACAAAAACAAAAACAAAAAAAAAACGTGTATACATACCCTTGACAATCAAAGCCATCAATTATATAAACTGTGAAAAACTAATCAAAACAAATGGATCATATTGGTAAAACGCTAGATCTTACTTTAGATAGATCTAACGGTTAATAAAATGGGAGTCATTTATAAACAAAATTACTTTTTTTTCTACTGATTTACTTTATAAAATTCAATATAACCGAGTAACCGAGTAGCAGTTTTACTAACCGATACTCGCATCGTTCGGCGGTTAACGGTTAACCGGGTACTCGTTGACAACACTAGTTCCTCAGAGTTTTTAAGCATCTGATTTTCACAATTTCTCGAATATATCGTTGTAAAGTACACCTGAAGTTTTTTCTCCTTTACTACTGCTAATATTTTAGTGAGGAGTAAAGAAATAGGCCCGGTAGAACAATTACTGGAACTCGCTGTGTATCTTTGTTTGTAAGGATTTTATGAAGTTTAGGAATCCAGTATAGATATGGTAATTCAAATTAATCCTTTTGATTGTTGGGGATATTAAAAATACAATATATTTAAAACTGACATATGATTTTGAAGAATTTCCTCCTTAGAAAGGGAGCTATGGGTATAAAAAAGTTGGATTACTACTTGCAGAATTAAATCCCAGTTCCTCTAAAATACAATTAAAATAATGGGCCTTGCAAACAAAGAAAATGTTGTTGCATGCATTGTCAGCTCGGACCAGTACAAACTGATCGTGTAATCTATCTTATTCTTTTATCACTTCTGAATTATTGAAGGATAGATTGTTTTCATACTGCCCCTCAA